TATATATATATATATATATATATATAATCATACACACACACACACATATATATATATAGCAAAATTCTTGGGGCAGGGAGATGTATACACCTTTGAGTCAGTGTTGCCTCATGGCGATTACTTGGACTAATCCTTGCAAAATTTTTCAGAAGTGGTTTGCCTTTGTCTCCTTCTTACAACCAAGAGAGAATGATTGACTGAGGGTTATCCGGTTGGTTTAGCTTAGGTTAATTTTTTTTATAGTGGGGTCCTTGGTGCTCTCTGAGCTTGACGGTTTTCTTGCAGACCTTTCATTACCAAACTAGGTAACATCATCAATGCCTAAAGATATTGCTGGCACTATTTTTCGTGATCTTTTAAACTAAAGAAGAAAGATTGAAAAACAACACCTCTGACCTGATTCTAGAAATAATTTTGGAATGTGGAACTATTGAACAATTATATTTACTCCAATATAACTTGTAAGAATAGTGAAATTTCTTTTTGCTTTTTACAAATTCCTTATTAGTTTTATACTTTGAAAATTTTCAATAAATTCTTTGTTCCTGCTTTCTTTCTATTGTTTTCTTCTCTTTCCACTCTCTAATTATTTTTTAAAAATTAAAAATACCAGAAAAAAATCAAAATGGGATATTCATATTACATCAGCTCCTAACTATGTTAATAAGATAAAGAAAAAAAAATCAAGTTTGAACCATAAAATAATGGACTTACCTATTATATCTTCATAAACTGCGTAACTCAGTTCTGAAACAGATCCATATAATTTGGTTAAATAAAGTCTTTTTACATAAGATTATTAGTTATAAAGTCTGTTAAGCACTAAGGTAAAAAGAAAATGTGAAACTGTTTAAACATGGATCATGGTGTAATTCAGTTTATGAAAGTATGTACAATGAAAATTTACACAACAAGCTATTTGTCTCAATTGCATTACTACATGAATGAGCCTTAGATCTGTGGAATTTTCCTCTCTTTCCATGGTATCTAATAGTTCCAAAACTATTTTTGCATGTGAAACAGGCTTGCACTAACTTGGAAAATACAAATTTGATGCAACCACTCGTGTGTAATAAAGAGCTTTGATAAAATATATGCAAACAAGAGGTGTAGCATCAAATCACTGAACCTGAGCAAGAAGTGAACATATTTGGAAATATATGCTCACTTCTTATAATTTTACTGGGAAAAGGAATGAATAACCTGGTGGTAGATCAGATATGCTGTATTCTTATTTAAATCCATGGCTTCTCAAAGATGGACCTGGAAACACTTGAACATAAAATTCAGAGAATTGTTGCTTCTTATAGAAGACATTTCTGACCTACTTCAAACAATAATACATCTTAGTGTTTAGATGCTTCTTAGGTTTCTATTCATTAGATGTGCCTAATGCAGAAAATACAACATGCATTTTCCATTAGCTCCCAGTTATTGAAATTCAGTATTGAGGATTTTGAGATTTTGTTATAATCTCACTTTTCACTTGGTTTAAGTACGTTTTTAAATATCTTGCTCAAGAGCAAGAACAAGTGCAAAGAAAAAAAAAAGCTCCCAGAATAAACACTTTTTCTTCTATCACACAATGTAGTACATTTTACATCATTGTATCTTAGTCTTATAATATGAATGCAGCCTTACCATATACAAAAGCTGGCAAATGCACGTAATATTGGCATTAGCCGAACGTGTGTTATGCTATGCAGTCTAATCCATTTATTGATTGATAAAGTATGAACTAAATTAATATGCCAATCATGAGCTTACCAACATGTATAAGGTAAGAGAAGTCTTTCACAATTATTTCTCCTCTTAATGTACGTTCCTGAACATCTGCTATCACCGATTCAGAATCCACATCCTTTCAGAGGGAAGGAAAATGGGGAGAGGGTACAGAGAGCTGTTACAACATTATTCTACATTATTATCACTAGGCACAATCAATGGCATTTTACAAAGGAAAAAGAAGCAACAAGAAGAAAGTGAAGATGAGGGAAGTAGGTGAAAAATGCACATCTGGTTCATTCAACTATTTAGGTTGAGATTCAGAAGGTGTTTAAAAATCACAAAAAGATGATTTTGACAGTTAGGAGAAGGGTTATACCTAAGGTGACCAGATGTCCCGCTTTTGGTGGGACAGTCACAATTTTTCAAAATTTGTCCCGTGTCCCGCGGCGTGTTCAAAAAGTCCCGATTTTCCAAAAGAAAGAAAAGACGCCAAATCATCAATTTTGAAAAGGACGCCGTTAAAAAAAAAGTTTTTATTTCTCTGAAGTGTCGTTCCTGATGTGGCCTTTAGAGGACAGTGGTTTCCCTCCCTCCGCGAGGCTCCCTCCCCTCCTGTGCGTGCCGACGCACGATGTTTTTGCAACAGCCATCCGGCGGCCTCTGGCCCCCCCGCCCGAGGCTTGGCGGTGGCGGCAGCACAACAAGGAGGAGGCTCGGTCCCAGGCCAAGCGGCTCAGCCGACGGAAGCTCCTCAAAAGCACGGCGGAGGAGGAGGAGGAGGCGGCAGGGGTAACACTTCATGGGTTTTACAGCCCTCTTTTTTTTTACAGCTCAGGTGCTCCGAGCCCCCATCCCCCCATCAATGGTGTCCCGCTTTACCCATCTTAAAATCTGGTCACTTTAGTTATACCAATAGTCTAGAAGTAACTTTAAACATGTGCAACAGCAAAAAAAAAGATGTCTGAGGGAGATGACAGCAAAAAAGATGTTTGAGGGAGATGGATGATTAATAAATATGAAAGAAAGAGTTCTCAAGAAATGAAGTGAGATACATTTAAATATTTTAAAATAACAGCTAGGAACGAAGGCGGAGCCTATACCGAAAAAAGACAAGATTACAATATAGGAAATCTTTTCTAGCAAATGAATTTATTTACCTTTTGTTTAGTGTATATTACCACAGTGACTGAATCTTCTGTCTGGAACCAGTCATAACTGAAATAAATTGAGAAAACTTTTAATTTTTTTTAAAACAAAAAGATGTACCTCCACAGGGATTTTTCTTCATGTATGAAATATTATTCAATAATGCGGCTGTCATAGGAATCATGTTAGGCTTCCTTAAACTGAAGGAAAACATCACAAGAATTTTGATAAACAAATGGGATATTGACACTGCTATTACATTTTACTATCCATTTAGGGCACTAAATGTAAATAAAGTTCAATAGGTAGAGTGGAGAATTAATCCTGTCCCAAATCAACCTTATGTGACTTTGTAATAGTGGCGAATATCTTTAGCTCGGGTGGATGAGGGTGAAGGTTCGTTCTCTGAGCTTGTGGGCTGGTTTCCGAATGTTTCATTACCAGGCTAGGTAACATCAAGCACCAGCTGGCAGTCAAATACCATGATCCCAAATCCTTAACATCTACCCACACTGACACCAAACACCAGTTCAATTGGAGCCACACAAAAATCATTGGCCACGTTACCACCTGTCATACTCATGAGTTCATCAAAGTTTAGCATTCCCCAAGCAATTTAATCAACAAACACATTGACCTACAACCCCTTCAGAATCCAAATCAATCACACAGCCAACCAGAGATGGCATCGACCCTCAACCAACTCACACAACTCCCCCATCAGTTTACCTCCCAATGACCTTGACCTGATGTAATCTCCTTATCACAAGACCCATCACAAGTTTCGCTGATGACTCACAGCTGATCCATCACAAGACCCCCACTTGACACCTACACCTGAAGTTCTTATAAAAAGAAGAACACTGGTACCCCCTAAACTCCGCTGAAGATGTTAATTAGCCTGGTAATGAAAATTCAGAAGCCAACCCACAAGCTCAGAGAATGAATCTTCACCCTTATTATGTGACTTATCCTGACTGGTAGACCTATCTTGATAACTCTGAGCCAGTAGAACTCATTGACACTTTGAACCAAACTCAAAAATGTTACTTGCATCAGAGCCAATTGTGAGACTTAACCCCAGACCTGGACAATGGCTTGAAACTATCAATATTGGACAATGGCTTGAAACTATCCATATTCAGTTTGATTGTCTGAAACAGCTATGTGCTAAAAGCAATACTGGTGTCATTAAAACTGTATGACCAGCAAACCCTGAACATGCTATGATATCATAATTATTCAGCAGCATCTGAAACAATGGCCTACCATTGCTCAGTACTAATCCTTAGACTGATTTATCTGACAAATTGGCTTTGACAAGAACTCTTCCAAACAGCCCTAGTCAGAAGGACCAAATATTTATCTATTCATTTTTCTGAGGCATAACCACAAGGCAGTAGAATGCTTATGTGTTCTAGAAAATAATAATAGATGTTTTGATTCCTGAGCTACCTACAACAACATTCACATTCACAACTATATATATATATACATTTCCAGTTGAAATCAACTCCAAGAGACTTCATGGAAATACTCATGCAGCTTTCTTGACAAAATGCAAAATGGTTTATTGATGCCTTGTTTTCTTCTGATCTCTTAATCTATTCTATAGCCCTGGGCAATCTCCCACGCAAGCACTAGCAAACCAGACTTTCAGAACAAAATTATGTTAAAATGGGGAAAAATTAGTCTCTACAGTATGGCTGATTTATTCCAATTATTCCATAAATTATATAACATACTGTACTTCTAATATATTTTCATTCAGTCCTTCCTTAAATAGAATCCCACAATGCTGAAATATGACAATACCTGGGAATTATTTCTTTGGAATAGGGATCCAAAACTTTTTTTCCCGGAAGTATACCTACAAAATATAAGAAGTTCATTAATGCACAATGGTTAACATTATTCTAGCACAGTGTTTCTCAACCTTGGCAACTTGAAGATGTCTGGACTTCAACTCCTGGGGAATTCTGGGAGTTGAAGTCCGGACATGTTCAAGTTACCAAGGTTGAGAAACACTGTTCTTAGCATTAAGGATTTATCAGCCTAATCTACTCCCCAGGACAGCAGGAAAAATAATGGGGAGAATATGTTCCTGATTTTCATGAACAAAGGGTTAGATGAAAAATATACTATTAATTTTTGTTACTTATCATTTCATTCAAATAATCACAAAAGCTGATGGAGATGGCTACTAGAAGGAATTCAGAACCTCCAGTCTCAAATTTGTCTGCTTAAGATAAATATTTGGTTATACGATCCTAGCATAAGTAGCAGGAGGGACATCACAGACCATTTTACACTCAACTATTATTATTTAAATTTATTACGACCATCCATTCAAATGTCTTGTCCTTTTCAGATACAGAAATATCCAGAACTACAGAAATGAGGAAAATGTTGGCTTGGAGGTCACTTTTTTTTAAAAAAAAGCCACATGAAATGGAAAAACCTTGGCATGTAATTTATTTTTGTATCAGATGAATCATGAGTATTTGCATATCAATTATGTTTACAGATGTTTACAGATTTACAGAGTTGAAAGGGACCTTGTAGGTCATCTAGTCCAAACCTCCCCCCCCCACTAGCCAAAGCAGGAGTCCCTACACCATTTCTGACAAATGGCAGTCCAATCTCTTCTTGAACACCTCTAGTGATAAAGCTCCCACAACTTCTGAAGGCAAATTCTGTTCCATTGGTTGATTGTTGTCACTGTCAGAAAATTTCTCCTTATTTCTAGGTTGAATCTCTCCTTAATCAATTTCCATCCATTATTCCTTGTCTGCCTTCGGGTGCTTTGGAAAATAGCTGGACCCCTTCCTCTCTGTGGCAGCCCCTCAGATATTGGAACATTGCTATCATGTCTCCACTGGTCCTTCTCTTCACTTGACTAGCCATGTCAATTCCTGTAACCGTTCTTCATGTTTTAGCCTCCAATCCTCTAATCATCATAGTTGCTCTTCTTTGCACTTTTTCTAGAGTCTCAACATCTTTTTTATAGTGTGGTGACCAAAACTGGATGCATATTCTAGGTGTGGTTTTACTAAGGCTTTATAGAGCGGTATTAGTACCTTACTTGATCTTGATTGTATCCCTTTGTTAATGCAATGTAGGATTGCATTGGCTTTTTTGACTGCCACTGCTGGCTCATATTTAGCTGGTTGTCCACTGAGACACCATGATCCCATTCACAGTTACTGCTATTAAGCCTGGCTTCACGCAGTCTATGTCGCATGCTATCAATAAAACTTTTCAATAAGAACAGCAGGTGCATATTCAGAAACATCAGAAGAAATCACTTACAAGGTTGCCAAGTAATTCACACTAACCCATAAAAGAACCTTCACATCCTTAAAAAGCAGTTCTATATAACAGCACTTTTTTGTGCTTGCACAAACTCTCCTGAGTGTATGGGTAAAAAGAGCACTAGCTCCAATACACACAAAGGGACATAGCATAAACCTCAATACTTGGTAATGAATCTATGATAATCAGTTGAACTTAATTTTCAAAATTTATTTCAACCTCTTGGATTTCCTTACATAAACCTATTTAGTCTGGCTTGAGTTTAATACAGGTGAGGGGGGAAAGCCGACATTATTATGGTCTATTGGGGTTGTGTGTGTGTGTCAAATAAAGATTCACTCTTAGGCTTCTCTGAATCTTAAAAATTATGTTTGCATATTTTTCTTTGAATAAGACTTATCAGATCTAGATTATAAAAATCCAAACCACCATAAATTGGCAGCAAAGAGAATTTATCAAGCTCTAATAAACAAAAATAGGCTGTTGAAACTGCTGGTTTAAAGCAACAACCCTGGATAAGAAATAACAAAGCAGAAAAACTATTACAAAAAAATAAAAATAAAATGATTATCAGTGGGATTGGTAACAGCTTCCTCACTGACACATAGGAATCTGTCAGGGGAGCACTGGAAATAACAACCATGTGACTGTGGCTGACCTCAGCAGCACAGCTCATTGAAAGAGCCACAACCTTTCCAAATTTCAATCTAACAAAATAGGAGAATGGGATTTTGAATACATTCTATAAGACCATTTGAGGTACTTTTGTTCAAAAACCGATGCCCTATGATGCAACCATTTTATCCAATGGAAGATTAACAAAAGAGAAACAAATCTAAGTTTTAATTATTATGTAGATGAAAGATAATAAAGGTAATCCTTTACCTTGGGTTTGACATGTTATTAATATTAGTATTGTTATTATTAATGAATTTTAATAAATTATTTTTACTGTAATCAAATATCGTACATCATAAAAATGAAACAACTTCTTTATAACACCTCTGATACTAACAAAAGCCATTTCTCCACTTCTTACAATGTCTTCAAAGCATCACACAGCTGTTGTTCTTGTCCTTGTTGTTTTGGCATAATGAAATCTAAATGGGTCAGGAAGATGCTATGAATTGTTAGTAGAAAACAACTGCAGAACACCTAGTTTCGGGTCTTGATCCTTGACACCATTTCTTTTACTTTTCTTTCTAGAAGGAAGCTAAAAGGGAAACTTCTTCCTTCATCTTCCTCTCCAGAAAATGTGCAGTTCATAATCTGTCTGTGATTTAGCCCAAAATCCGAACATAAGTACAAATCCAAAATAAATGCATTTAGAAAACAGCCAAGCACACCACATAAAGGAATACAACTGCCATGCTGATTGCAGAAAAAAGTACCAGCAACATAAAAATTATTGTTCCTTCTTAGTGAAGAAAAGAAAACCAAGTCTCGATCAAAGTAAAATAACAAAATATACCACAATACTGTACATCTTCATTCCCAGTAAAAGATACTCCTATTTATGAACTAGTGTATTTTTTTTCCGTATAGCAAGACCTGCTATAAACCCGTGGGCTTGTCTCAAGGCCGCCTGGTAAGCTTACCAAGTCCTCAAGGGACCTGAGGCCTGAAGCCTCTGCAAGATGCAGGAGAGCCCCCCTAGCAGTTATCGAAACACCGATTAATTTAGAATAAAGACCAATTATCCGAATTAGAAGTCAATTTTGGTAGAAAAAATAGCCAATTTATCAAAATTGAAGGTAGGAGAGATCAAAAGGCAGTTAGTCCAAGAATAGACTGAGTCTAAAGCTGGGAGGAGCTACCACAGAGGGTGTGTCCTCACAACTTGTAGACTCAGTCCTATTGGATACTGGACAGAGTAAACCCATGTCTGGATGATGTCTCCACCTACTAGGAGAAACCCCTTTTCCCTACTTCTAATGGAACTCTAGTCCAGCAGAATCTTGTCAAACCATGCCCCTTCAGAAAGTATGATGCTAAGCTTATTGAAAAGATTAATTTCCTACTGCAATGTAGACAAAATATTAAATTATTAGAACTTTGGAAAAATCTGTATCATATTTTATCTCTTGCAGTATTATTTTAGATGATCACATCTCAAGCATCTTTGATACCTTAATAATCTTAGCTCAGCTGAATATAAATAATACTTTCACACCAGTGACGTGCAGTGAGGTTTATGGTTGGTGAGGCAGTCCTCTCCCCCAACACCCCACTGACTAAAGCACTTTCTTCTGCCTGCTTGTGCTCACGGCAGCCCGCACTACCCCTCATGTGATGGCAATTTGGACCACTGGCACCTGTTCATACTTACAACCAGTTGCCAAGTATCCTTGTGATCACCATTTTCAATTTCTCTGCTGGCTTCCCCAGAAAGTCAATGGGGAAGCTGGCAGGGAAGTTTTCAAACTGTTGTTGCCTCTCTACTCTGTGCATAGGGGGAGGGGATTCTTGCAATGGATTCGAGAAACAAAGCCTGGATCATGAAGATTCAAGAATTTTTTTCACCAGTCCAGCATGGGAGTTTCCACCTACCCTCCATACACAGAAGAAAACGATAGCCCTAGGCTAAGAAAAAGCCACCTGGATTGTCAGGATGCAAGCTTTTTGCTTTAGCCCAACACTGGTGTTTCTCCCCTCCATGCACAAAAGAGAACTCCAACATTGGTCTGGAAAAAAGAAGCTTGCATCCCATAGATCCAAGTTTCTTTCCAGCCTTCCTTCAGTTCAGAAACATCGTGTTTTCTAGGCTTCTAGACAGAAATGTTTCTGAATGGTAGAAAGACTAGCACACAAAGGGAAGGGAACTCCTGGCAGAGGGGTGGGTGGGAGATCCAAAATTTCCTTTCTCTGGTTCAGTGCTGTTCTCATCTGCACATGGAAGAAAGATCAGTAGACCAGAGAAACGAAACTTGGGATCTGAGCTTCGTTTCTCTGATTCAGTGCAGTTCTTTTCTGCACACAGAATTATCAAATTAAACATTGATATGCATGTCTGCAGCTCTTTCCATGCTCAGGAATATAATTTAGCTAGAACAGAGGTATGGTTTAGCAAAGGATCTAAGACATGCTTTGAATTTCCAGCCACTAATAAACTAATCCCCTAGTTAATGTAAAATATATTTAAAATACTTCTGTAAAACAATTGGATGGTCTATGATAGACAATATAAACAAATGAAGTCATAACCTACTTAATAAACATTTTTTAAAATCACTTATTCCCTGTTTCTTTAGAAATGTTTATGCCTTAACCAAATTTTGAATTTCTATCAATATGAATATATATCTTAGATAAAAGATTTTTCTCTTGGGAAAAAATGAGTTTCTGGTAAAAAAAATTTAATGTTAGGTATTAAATTGCCTAATTTAGAAAACATCTGTTTCCTCTTAGAAGGACATCTAAAACCTTTTACATTCCAGAAAATGATTTAAATATGTCAAAAATGCACATTAAGCAGTTATTATAATCATAGGTCCAGGGCAAAAACAATTACTGATTACTTGTGATAAATGTTTAAAATAACTGAAAATGAAGCATAAACAATCACAAAGGGAAAAAACAAAAAAGCCTAGAAACTAAAAGAAGATTTTTTAAAACCAAAGGAAAATACAATGAAAAAAGGAAACTGAAAAAAGCAAAAAATAAAAAATAAAAAAATCCAAAAATTGTACTGCAGGGATTTCTTTACTCCTCACCTACCCCAAGCCAAGGTGGTCCATCTCCCTCTAGAAAAATACTAAATATTTCAACACTGCCACTTATTTTCTTCAGATGATTTTAAAACAATAAGCTTCTGTCCAAAATTAATAAGCCACAGGAATCACTGGAAAAAGAAAATAAATTACTCCATTGTTTTGTTGCTAAATGAATTTTACTGAATAACTTCTGCTTCTAAACCATCTGTGTAGGCAGCTATGAAAAAAAAATCATCTTTTTAAAATATTTCTTACCAAATTTCCACTTGCTAAGACCCCACTTAGATAAATATATATAAACCCATAATTATAGATCTCAAAAATCTCACAAAATAGGATTGGGAGTTTATACTGAATAGAAGCAAATGTCTATACAACAACTTTTTATTTTATTGATTTGGTTATCAAATTTAGATACTGCCCATCTCACTCTCTCTTTCAATTTCTGGCTTATATTTATTTGTTCCTGCTTCAGTTTTAAAAAAACGACTTCTATTTCTACATAAGTGCATTTACAAACTAATTTGCTCAGCTTTATAAGGCATGTTTAAAAATCATAAATTTCCGTAAACTGGGCCCTGTAACATCCTCCTGAATGTCTATCTTTTGAAAAACTGTTTCTCGTTCCGTTACATATTTCAAGCTCAGTCATCCTTGTTTTGTGTGAATCAATAATTAAGGGATTTGGTGCTGCCATTTTCTGACCTAAAATATCTACTTTATCTCTGAAAAGCACTTTTTCACATAATGCAGTGAATTTTTTATAAATTCAGTTTTTTTCTAGAAGGCTGTAATTGATGGGAAGCAGTTCCATCAAGTTTTCTCAGTTGCCTTTTCTAGTCAGGAATACTTTCAAAGCTAAAGCTCTGTGCTGTTCTTCAGTTTGCTCAAGAAATGTTTTTTCCCTCAAGAGGGAAGTGATCCTTGTTTTATCTTCTCAACTTCAGACCCACAATTTATCACCACAAAGCAGCATTATAAAGAAAGAGAAAAAAAGGTTTCTGCTTACCAGATAAACTCTTGCCCGGGAAAGATCTAGTACCAATTTATCACGAAGCCAAACAGAATTCCAAAGAAAGCTCAAGCTAGAAGATTTTTCTACAGGTAGTCCTCAACTTACAACAGTTCATTTAGTGACTGTTCAAAGTTACAACAGCACTGACAAATGTGACTTACGACCGCTTTTCAGTTATGACCTTTGCAGCATCCCTGTGATCATGTGATCAAAGTTCCGATGCTTGGTAACTGGCCCATATTTATGACTATTGCTGTATCCCGGGGTTATATGATCCCCTTTTGCGACTTTCTGACAAGCCACATTCACTTAACAACTGGGTTACTAATTTATCAATTGCAGTGATTCACTTAACAACTGTGGCAAGAACAGTCATAAAATGGGCCAAAACTCACTTAAGAAATGTCTCACTTAACAACAGAAAGTTTGGCCTCAACTGCAGTTGTAAGTCAAAAACTACCTGTACAATGATGCAAAACAGAATGAACCACACTGTCACATTCGTACATAAGCATGTTTCTATGTATTAGTTTCCCTCCATTTTTAAGAGAGGTGGAGAAGAAAGCTGAGCTTTAAATAAACTCTGCTATATGATATTGAAGCAAGGTAATATAAGAGTTGGAAGTAAATACAAGGGAGAAAATCAAGAGCAGAGCCTTCGTGTAAAAAGGCCAAAAAAGAATTCAGAACAGTACGTTCTCATTCTCTTTCTTTTTAATAATGCTATTATTTTTAGACATGGTATAAACAAGAAACAGGGGGTAAAACATAATAAAAACCTGACTACCAATCCAAAGCATTTGCTTCCTATGTAGCATGAAGCTTTCTTTCTTTCTTTCTTTCTTTCTTTCTTTCTTTCTTTCTTTCTTTCTTTCTTTCTTCTTTCTTCCTTCCTTCCTCCCTTCCCTTCTTTCTTTCTTTCAAGTTGTCTGATGCTTTTAAATGTAGTTCGAGTCCCTTTTTGTTATTCATTGCCACACCTATGGAACATTGCGGCCCAGTTGGTAAAAAGGATTACAATAGTGAACTGGGGACAGAGGGTATGATATTTCAGTAGGAAATCCAGTACAATACAAGATTCTGCTGCTCCATGGATGAATACGTATTTTCCTTTTCTATATTGTATAAAAGAAATGGTGGATGTTATCATACTTACCATTCAAAGTTCTGTTTTCTTCAGTTACAGGGAGACAAATTTCTGTAAAGTATGCAAAAAATACTATAGTGATCACAATAGAGAAAAACGCTCCCATTATGATACTAGGTGCAAACATTTTGGGCAAAAAAAAAAGTGTCTAAAGCTTTATTCAAGAAGAAAATAACCAAGCGTTGAATATTAACCAAGCAAAATATCAGCTCTGGAAATGTGAGCGCTAAACTGAAAAGAAAGCTACTTCCAACTACATGGAGATACTTCCTTAACAACTGCAATCATTTTAAAGGCATGAAATGTGAGCAGTGTTTGTGTCCGTAAAAAGTATACTAGCATTACGCTCTAATGTGTAGGGTGTCATTTAGCGAACGACAAGCACACTTGACATCTACTGGAGGTTACAAAATCATGATAGTCAAACTGCATGAACATTTTATGTTTCACTAATGGAAAATGATTTACTCTATGCCCTTAGATTGCACCTATGAAGGTGCAGAGACAATGTCTAGTGTCTTAAGATAATAGCACACAGTTTGTTGCACGGTGGCAATATCACAAGAAGCATCAATAGGAGAGAGGTACAAATATGAGCCATGGAAAGGGGCTCACCCCTTTCAAAGGAGATGAAGTCAAAATACACGGGCTTTTCAACATATGGGGGATGGGTGGCTATGAGGAGGAGTGCAGCCTTACAAACCCTTGTGCTACT